GAGGCCTGCTCACGCCAAAAAAAGCATTGGTTCCTTTCTCCTGCCAGCGTTGGGTCTCCTTTTCGAGCATGAACGCACAATGGTTTCGGTGGACCAATGGCATGCACTTTCTCATCTTCCTCTTCCTGCTTCTTTGTGCTTCCTATGTCACTGCTTCTGCGTTTCTTACAAAGTTGGTTGATGACTTTCCAATTTTGTTTTTCTTTCCTTTGTCTTTCCTCCTTCTTTCGCGTGCTTGTATCATAGTTCCACCAGGTCTTTTCCTTGGTCTCGTAGTTCTTGCGCCACATGCTCCGTGTAGTAAAGTACTTGTATTGTCGTGGTATTCACGGGTTCACGAAGTCCTTTTCTTTTTCTTTCTGCTCTTTCTCCTTCTTGCGTTCTTCTCGTTGACCTTCTTGATCCTTCTTTTCTTCTTCTCTTTTTCATCCTCTGCTGATCCTTCTTCTGGTTCTCATTTAAGCTTGTTAGGGGGTTCCAGGGGTTGGTGCCTTCCTTTATGTAGTGATAGGAGCTCAGTTGACACTGCCGAGCCCTCTTCCCTTGACGCCTTGCAGGCCCATTCAGTGCAGGCCACACAGTGGTTTGACAAGAAGCTGGGACTTACTGAGCACATTGGTAAGCGGCAGCTCTGGTGATGTTAAGTCCATGCTTGCCCGAGCGCATGGAGGTTAGAGAGCAGCTCCTTCTTGGCCTCGTGGTTGTGTCCGCTTTCTTTAGGACCATTCGGGGTCATGTCACTTGGTGGTGATCACATCACACTTTGCATCCCCATTTGCTGCCATCCGCTGCCTTGTCACGACCTCCTCCCGCGTCGGGCAAATGTCTTCCGGTTCTTGAATCCGTTGCAATGTCCGAGCTTTTGCTCCAGCCGCTTCTGCTGCTAACCCTCTACGGAGCTAGGTTGCGTGTAGTTCAATGCGGAATTCCAAAATCGCTCCGGGCTGCACGACATCAGTCTTGGAGGCGCCAGCCACAGCTCCTGAGGATTATAGCCGTAGCTTTGAGCCGTTTCAAGAAGTTAGTCGAGTTACACCGGGGATTGTCTCCAGCGTCCGCGACTTGGATGAAGGATCGCTGGCTGGGGAAGCACGCGGCTCATGGACGCCACGGAAAGCCCGGATGATGTCCGATGGAGATCTATGTTCTGGAGGTGCCCCCCCCCCGACTTTTCGTTCGTTTTCCGCCTGCGGACTAAGGCTCTCCACCAAAAGTTTTCAAGCAATCTCACGCGTAGTGAGGCTTTAATGGTTTTTTCTTGTAAAGTGTCACATGTGAAGACTTTTCCATTGTGCGATTTTAGTTTTTCTTCACATGTTATCATGCTAAGTATGCCGAGTGTTTCTTTAGTATCCCGCCCCATCCCTAGACATTAGGGGGTTGTGACCGCGCCTAACCTAACCAAGTGTGCCGAGGTGCAAACATTCTTGATCTGGTTACCGGCACGTTGAGTCTTCCTGAGAGCTCGAGTTGAAGCTCGGGACCTTTCAAAACTTTTGTGGAATTCCTCTTCTTCCGCGACCGGTTAAGCAATTTGTTTTCCCTGGGTAGGGTGTTTCGCTGCAATGGTAAACAAGGCCGAACTCCGGGACAAGTTCGGCCTGACCCCAGTTACGTGGAAGTTTTTGACCACACGGTGACTGACGCCAGGTTCGTGTGGATATCGTTGTACATGTACTTCAGTACACCAGATGCGGAAAGGGAGGTGCGATACTTCGACGAGTATAGTTGAGGGCCGAACCTTGTTTGTACATGGACCAGGTGTAAACACTACACGAGTGAACGTGTTTTTCCGGCAAACTACGATTTTCAACATGTAATTGAGGGTGGCTCTGGGCCACCGTGGAGAGTGTGGTCGTGGAGGGATGGGGATACAAACCTCCGAAGACATTTTATCAGCAGAGCGACGATACGATCATTTCATCTGCTGGATTGGACGTCACACTGTCGGCGGGTAGTGGCCGTTTTGCCGTCGATTTTTATGAGAACGGCTTGTAACGAGCGGCCTTGCTGTCAGTTGCTCAAACCAACTTGGGCTAGTATGAGATGTGCTGTGTGTTTTCAAGACGTATCCTCTCGACTTAAGGCCGTAGTATCCACTGTTCGGGCTTTGTCAAGTATAGACTATGACTGCACGGGACATTTGCGATACGTATTGAAGCGCCTCTTGTCCAAACATGGCGATCGACGCAGAACTGGATGAGGAGGCAGCGACTAATGAGGTTGGAGCCCAGCCGAGCTCAAATCTCCATGTAATGTAGCGCATCTCACAACCTTGCTTACCGATTTAAAACCTCATCTGTCCTTTCCCTTTTCGCCGACCTGAGTTTTGACGGCTCCTGCCTCTGCAATCCCGATGCCCTCAACCTTTTCCGCCATTCTTGACCGGGGTACGTGTTGCCGTGCTGATCTCTTTGGAAGCAGTGTGCTTCAGGCGCAAGCGTTGGTCCAGGCAGCCGTGAGATTCATCCAGGAAGTCGGGGGTGAGGCCGACGCTGCTGAAGGAGGCATTCCCGAGGCCGTGGAGCTGCGCAAGCAGCTCCAAGAAGTCGAAGAATTGCGACGAGACGCGGGGGAGCTGGCGAGCAGCTCTGGCATTCTCGCACTGAGAAGGGCCCTCTCTGCTTTGGAGCTTCTTCTTTTCTATACGGTCAAGACGGAGGTCGCTGGAAAGTGCGCAGCCGTGATGTACCTGACGAGTCGCAGACAACAGGTGATCCTTGCACGCATTGGCGAAGTGCTGTGGCTAGCCAGAGATGCGGTGGAACTGGCACGTGATGTTCAGGAGCGATGGTTTCACAAGAAAGCCCTGCGACATGCCACAACATGACACATCATGCCACCATTCTGTTCGTCCTTGCAGGATCCTTGGATGGAAGCCGCAGCTCTGAAGGCGACGAGCGATCACGCCGAGTGCTGTTGTGCTGTTCACGGCTCAGGTGCTCACTCGTGTGCATTTGAGCAGAGTTGGCGAGCCCGATGCCCCAATGGCTGCCATCACAGAAGCCACAAAGGCGGGAGGCAGTCCCACGTTTCTGGGTATCTTGTGTCAGCTGACAAGTCTCCATTCAGGCACTGCAGGTTCTTGAAAACCTTGAGGAGGAAAAGGACCAGGACTGATGTCTGGTGGAGCCAGCTTCGCCCAGCAACTCCCAATGTCGGAGTTTTGCCGGCCCGAATCCAGGACTACTGCAGAATGCACGCTGAGATCCTCTTCGTGTTGGGTGCGGCACTACAGGCAAACTCCGCTGTCGGCTTTGCACTATCCCCCAAAACCAGGCGATGCCCAGCTGACGAAGGCTTTGAAGTCTCCCTTCAGCCAGGCGGGTTTTGTCGCGATCCCTGTGAGCTTCGGGCGTTGCGTTCCCAAGGCTCGCGAGGAGGCCTTGGAAGCTGCAGCGGAGACGATGCGGAAGGCGACCGAGGCAAGGCGACCGGGTCTTCGCCTTCTAAGAGTCGCTTCGCTTCGCTCCGCTTCGCTTCGCTCGGCCTTGGAGGCGTTCCGGAAGCTCGAGGACGTCAGGTGGACGGGTCGATCCATGCTCGGGACCGCACTGGCGCTCGTCGGCCGGGGGCCCTTCAAAACTGCACGGCCGCAACTTTTGGGATCTTGAGCAGACTCCGACTGACTCCGAGGTGTGGAGGACGAGGACCAGCAGATGGACGGTGAAAGGCTCGCCGAGGATGCCAAGGAGACCCGCCTGAGTTACGGTAGCTTGGTCCCTCTCGAGCCCAGTTCGAACGCGGGTGAACTGCAGGATTTGTTCCACGAAGCAGCCGAGTGGTGGGTCTGGCTCTGTTGACGCTTCGGTCCGGCGGAAGTGCACACAAAGTGGACTAGAGATTGCAGCTTTCAGGGACTTGGAAGTTGTTGCCGTCATGATCATCGTTAAGCTTTGGCCTTAGTTGGCAGACCTCTGGTCACGGAAGAGGTGTTGCAGGCAGAGCTTGGCTTGCAAGGTGTCGCATCACTACTTCTGGGCTGGACTGCGCCTTGTTGTCCGCGGAGGCCATGCTGCTTGGGTGCTTTGGGATCACAATGCCGAACATCCGCTACTTGCCTCTTGCAGACCAAATAGATGTGCCAAGCGGCTATCACAGTCAAGCAAAACTTGGGGGCCTCGCCGAGAGATCTCTTTGCATGCATAAATAACACACAAGCAGGCCGAGGGCAGTCCCCGATCATAGGCAATCGTGCATCCGGAAGCACACCGCTGATGCCTGCAGGATGCGGCAGAAGACTGGAAGGAGGAAGGTGGCAGGCTAGTCCGAAATCTAGAGAAGCGAGGTTCTGGATTGCAGTGATGTTCTTGCGTCTGGCTTCAGCATGCTACATCAAGAGGGCTGGGTGCAAGGGGAAGCCAGGCAATACGAGTGTGCGGTGTGCACAGTTCTTCGCAGAATTTCGAGCTTGAAGAGCTCAGCAGCTCTCAAAGGCTTCCAAGGCCTCAACAGCCGTGGAGCACCGAGCAGGATCGAAAACTTTCGAGGCGAAGAGGATCGATCCGTCACGGCTGACTGCTAGAGTGCCGTGTTTGTTATCTGCCCCTTCCAATGTGCAACGGCAGTACCCGTTTACTTCGCATCTTTGGCCCGTCGGCTTGACGTTGTGACGCATCGGTAGGAGCCCATAGTTTGCCTGCTTGTTGAAACTAGGTGCAGGGTTTTGACACAGCAGGCCAGAGCACGTGGCTATAGCCTTGCACTCGGCAGCTTCCATCTACTTCCAGCTCAAGGCGATCGAATCGACTGACTGGGCTCTGCACGGCTCTGCCAGCTGCAGCGTCTCGCGAAGGAGAACCTGGAGAAGGCGGCACTCTATTGCGAGGAAGTGACAAGCCCAGGGGTTCCGGGCGGCTCACGTTGTGCTCACAGAGTGCTCAAGCGGTGGAGCTCAGGCCTTGAAGCTTTTTCGTGCGGCCCAGTGGCGCCGTGCAGAGGTGCGATGCGATGCGACCGCTCGAGAAGCGTGCAAGTTCCTCACCCAATGGCCAGTCCGCCGTGCTGCAAACGCTATCGAGAGTCGAGTCTCTCAACCGAAACTTTGACAAGAGCATCTCCGCCATCAAGGAGGCCGTATTTCACGCAGCCTTTTCCCAGAGTCAGTTGCAAGCCTTGGCAGGCCGTTGGAAACTACATCGACATGCAGGCAGAACGCCGTCCCTGCCGTTTTAAGGCAGAGCTCTGCAGAGTGCAGCGCCGTGTTGGGAGGACCGTCGCGGCGAGGCCGAGTCGCTGACCTTCGCTGCAGAGGCCTCCTTGAGCAGGCTCAACGCCGAGGCGACGTGTGCGACGTGTCCGAACGCGAGAAACAGATCCTGCGGCGTGTTGCGGGGTGTGCGGGAGGAGCACATGCTCCCGACGGAGCAAGCAAAAGCTTTGGCCGATGAGGACAGTGGAGTTTGGGGCAGACCGTTGTGCGCGACTGCATCACACTCCCTCAGGGCCGCGACTTCTCTGACCAAGCTGGCAACATCTTTAGGGAGCTTGGAGACAAAGACGGGCTACAGATGGTCGACGAGGCGCTCAGAGCTTCACAAGGCTCGTGTGCTCGCCTGCGAGTTCGAGTTGAGGTCATGTATCTGGCCTCCAATGTGGCGGTGGAGCGGTATTGCGAGGCCTGAAGCCAACCATCTCTGGCCTCATCTGCTTTCCATGCTTGCCATACCTTGCCAGGCAACACAGCCCACCCGGATGATCACCAACCTCAAGGCTCCCGGGATTGTGGCCTTCATTCGACCAGTGCTTCGCGGATCCTTCGCGCGAATCGCTTTACGTTGTTGCAGTAGCTGAGACTCGACTGAAGAGGCCCCGCGAATCTAACGAGTCCGTGTCAGCCAGAGAGGACTTGAATCCCAACTGCTTATGGGGCTAATTCTTGCTGCCGGTCGTCCTCCCTTTTGAGTGAGCAGCAGGCTCGATTGCCTTGTTCAAGCGATCAATGGCAACCTGTCACCTCCCTCATGTTGCAAGGGCTGTGTTTCGCGAGGCTGTTCTTGCAAGCTGACATCTGATGCCCACCTAGCTTATACTCTCCCCGGACGAACCGTGCAGCCAAGCGTAGAGCAGCAGTTTGGAGCTGTCTTGAAATGCCAGTCCGATGGCAATGGCGCTTCGGAGATGTTCGGAGCCGTTAGCTCGGTAACACTATCTCAGAAGTCAGCACCGACAGCCAACTTTGCTCGAAGGAATGGCTCATCGATCGTGGTGAGGGCATGGACAAGTTGCGGGTACGGAGGCTGATGAAGAACGGCCGCTGTGAGGGGGCCGTGCAGTACCTTTAGACTAGCTCGGGATCTTTCCCTGAGTTTCATGCGTCCACTAGTCCGTCTCTTCCCGTCTCTTCCCTGGCAGTCCAGCACACATCTGGTCTGCACTTGCGACCAAGCCCAAAGGGATGAAAGAACGCAGCGGTCTGTGGCTCTTCTCCTGGTGTCATGAGGTTCCAGAGAGAGCGAAGAGATCACAGAGACCAAGCCTCCTTGTGGAGGCTTTTGGACCAAGTCATGATGATTCAAAGGATAACTTCCTTCGCATCTCTGGCATGTGCCTTGAACTTGATTCGGTCTAGACTCGGCAATACTTGGGTGGTCATGTCTGCTTGGGACGTCGTGCCATGGCTGCATTGAAAGCGAAGCCGCTACTGAAGAGCCTCGGCATGCAAGGCAGGTTAGCACAACTGTAGCTTGCGGGCAGAGAGGCACATGTGAGCGTGTTGAGACATCTGTAGGGTGACACGTGTTCTACACCTAGGTTCGCAGACGAGTCGGCCCTCCTTGCTCCGGAGGCCAGTCACGCTGTTCGACGCGACACGCAAGCGTTCTGGTTTTCAGTGCTGGGAGGGAGCAGAACTCGTGCGGGAGCTCACAGGAGCATGCGACACCTTGTGCACGCCTTGTGGGTTAAGGCCTAGGCGAGAGTCGGGTGAAGGACGCATTTGTCCAGTCATCTTCGTCGGCGATGGGCGGGCCGGGAAGTCCTACCTGGCTTCGTGCTTGGTGGGCACAGAGGCCGGCGCCCTGACGGCCTCAATGGGGGCAGGTGAGCACTGTAGTCATAGGATGCCTTCGGAGGATGCCTTCGTCTCCAGCGATTCTGCGGAGTCTGTGACCGAAGGCATCGATGCCGTCGCGGTGCCCGTGGCCACACTGGCTGTTGTCTCGCCGATTTCAGGAGAGCAGATTGCTGGAATTCCATGCCAGGATGGAGACACCTTGTTGATCTTGGATTGCGAAGGTGGCAACAATGCCATGGCACCTCGGAGAGAGATGATTCTGGCTCCACACTTCTTTGAGTTCGCGGCAGTCAGGCGGCCATCCGGAGCCTGGTGAATGTCTTTGGGCTTCTCCTCGGGAGCCAGGCTCTCCTTGTGCGTGACGGAGGGTCACCTTTCGAGATGAATGGAAGGTTGTCTTCGTCGCGAACGGAATGGCAACCGAGCAGGCTTTGCAGACCTTGGGCCTCGTTCTTGGAAAGTGCACTCGCAGAGTTTTGGGCGAGTCTGCTCAGCTTCCCCTGATAAATCCGAGGTGTTTCCCTGGCTGCACGATCGCTGCTCCGCTTGGACGAATCGTGCAAGCTGCCAGAGCAGGCGATTTGACGTTTGCTGGCAGAGAACCCTTCCGCTTGACTGATAGCTGCGATTGTGCCAGGAGCTGGTGTTCGTTGTGAACAAGAATACCCTCAGATATGAGGGAAGTGCCTTGGAGAAGATTCTGCAGCAACAGTTCGACGATCCGGGTCGGCAGGACCGAGTGACGGAGCCGAAGCTACAAGGAGTACCGAATGTGAGAGTCGCAGGAGCTTCGCGACACAGTCAGGGAGTGCTTCCCGGACAGGAGCTTCTTCACGGTTTTATCCTTAGACAATCGGCCAGTCTTGCGTCTTTGCGCGATGCTTGTTGCAATGGAACGGGCTTGAAGCAACCCATAATTTAATCTGGGGGTGCGAAGGCCTCAGGCCTAGAAGGGGAGTGCTTTGCCAGCTTGCAGCATGCAACAGGCTGGCGGAAGCCTTGGAAGGTCCCTGTGACATCGCTCAGGTCCCACTTATGGGAATGCCGACTTTTGACGAGTCTGTGAGTGCCTTGCGCTCGCATCTTGTGGCCCGCCGAAAGCCACTGGAAATGGGTGGTGTTCATGTGACTGGCAGGCAGTGGCTCGCAAGCCTTGGTCTCAATTTCCGACCCCGGCCCCCGCCACAGGCATCTTGCCGGCGTGATGGAGCTCGTGGTGGCAGAGGTGCGGAAGTCCCAGCAGGTGAACGTCCCATCCATGAACCGGTGCCCAGCTGCGAAGTCAAGCATGCCGGCCCGAGCGAAGCTGACTTGCAGGTATGTGATCTACGAAGGTTCGCAGCTTGCTTCGCCAGCAAAGAACGGAATCTGACCGTCGGAATTCAGATTCGCTGTCGCAGTTGACCGCAGGATTCCTGGTGCCATTGACGCAGGACCTGACCGAGTTCGCTCAATCCCAGCTGCCCGAGCTGTCAGACTACGACCCGCGACTGGAAGAGAGGACGTCCCGAACGGTAGTTCAGCGCTACACGAGCTGAGAGTGCGACAGTGCCAGGAGTCCCATCGAGGGGAGCCTGAATCGTTTCGACCAGGCATGCAGCCACTTGACATGCGAGGCGCTCAAGCGCGAGGCCTGCATCGGGCAGCGCAGGGGCCCGGGGCCCGGTCGGCGTGACCTTCACGCTAAGCCGCCCGAAGGCTCGCCAGCTGCTTTCTTCGAAGCTCTGGGACCTGTGGAGCTGGTTGGAGGCCAAGAACGAGGCAGAAAGCACAGCTATTGCGGTTTTGCCCTATCAGGCACAGTAGCAGAGGCGAAGAATCCCAAACATGCTGCATGTCGGGAGTGGCAATCACCCAAGCCTCAGATCCGGTTGGGTCCATCAACAGAAGCTTGACACCGACGCGAAGTCATGAGCAACGTGCACTCGAGACAAGTTACGCACAATATTGAGAACCAGCTTCACAGGTAAGACGTTTGCTATGTGCAACATGCGACTTTATTGCCTGTGCGGCCATTTTGGCTTAAGTTCTGTTTTTCTGTTGTGTTCTGTTCCCTCTGTTGGCCTGTGCTGTTGGGACGTTGCTGGTCATGTCGCTGGTCCCTCTGAGCCGTATGGTGCGTCGTGCTCGCAGTCTTGCTCAGGCTGACATGGACGATCTCACTTCTGTCTTTGAGGCGATGCCAAGGGAGGAGCTGCGGCGGCTGTATGCTACAGCTAAGGACATCCTTGAAGAGGATGCTTGGTCTGGCACTTCTTCCGAGGCGTCTGTGGAGTCCTCTTGGCAAAACCCCGATGCAGGTGTCCACATGCCCACCGTTCCCACTGGCGACCTGCTGGGCCTTGGCGGTGGTGCTGACATGCCTGTGGCCTCTGCTGACACAGCTGGTTCGTCTACCGACCCTCCTGCTGTACCTGTCCTTCCTGGCGCTGAGGTCATTGACTTGACCAACACTGACGATGAGCAAGCCGTTGGCCCTGATGGGGCTGATGTTCTCTTCGATGTGACGGCGCCTGCGGATGTGGCGGGTGGCCTTGGCAGTGCAGACTCTGGCCAGGACTTGTCTGCTTCAGGCGTTGCTG